TAGGAGACAGTAGGAGTCAGGAGGAGACAGTAGGAGACAGTAGGAGACAGTAGGAGACAGGAGGAGTCAGGAGGAGACAGTAGGAGACAGTAGGAGACAGTAGGAGACAGTAGTAGTCAGGAGGAGACAGGAGGAGTCAGGAGGAGTCAGGAGGAGACAGGAGGAGTCAGGAGACAGGAGGAGGAACACCTCCATCAGGTTTATTGTTTAGCTCGCCTCCTTCCTTCAGCTGGGGCACCATCAGAGGGTGGGGCCTGTCAGGGTCAAAGGTCAGATGGGCTCGTGTGTGTGTGTGTGTGTGTGTGTGTGTGTGTGTGTGTGTGTGTGTAGCTGACCTGTCTGCAGGACTTCTTCGGGGATGATGACGTGTTCATGGCGTGTGGACCGGAGAAGTTTCGTTACGCTCAGGACGACTTCGTGCTCACACACGCCGGCAAATCTCAGGCCTTTGTGAAYGGTAACAGGCCAACCCCAGCTGGGATCTAAAGATAAATCTGGATTAACTGCAGTTAAATGAGCTGTTGTTTCAAGTGTTTTATTATTTAAATAAGTTTTACCTGCTGTCTGACTGATGAAACAGAGAAACATTTACAGTTTTTAAACCAGACATCGGCCTCGTCTCTGAGAAAACTCAGATTAAAGTCGCCTCGTTTCRTTTCTCCGCAGAGTGCCGGACCAAAGTGTCTCGCTCCGCTGCTCCTCAGAGAACTCCTAAAACTCCGAGCGGATCCAGTTTCTCCTCGTCCAGGACTCCCCCTAAAGGCCCGACCAGAACCAAGTCACCTGCTCCAGGTAGGAGGCAGCCGGACGGCGCTTCAGACWCTGACTTTTTCCAGTTTAAACTGGGATTTTATGGTAAAATGTCAAATAAAAGATTCTTTTTGTTTTTATAAAAATAAAATCCACCCAGTTTATTAAATAAACTTAAAATTATTTTTAGTATAAAAAGAATTGTTGCACTGAAACCTCCTCAGGTTTAATCCGACCAATCAGATCGCTCGTTTCTCCTCACAGCTAATGAGGCCTCAGGCTCGCAGTCTGCTGGGAAGTCCGCCAGAACCAGTCCGTCCCCCACCAGTCCTGGTCCCCGACGGAACCACAAGGTCAGACTGTTTTACGTTTATGTCTCCGAAAACTTCCTCAGGTTCTAAAACTTTTATATTTTCAAACATGTTTTACCGCAGATATTTGGACAAAAAACAGAAGAGTTTTCAGGTGGTTTTATGAGACCTGCTTCAGCACCAAATTTCAGCTCTAAATCTGTAAAACTAACTGAGTTCTGTCATGTTTGTATCCAGGCTGCAGATATTTTGCTAACACATTAGATACAGATGAATCCTCTGAGTTAAACTGTTTTAATCTTCCTGTTTGTGACTTCGGGAGCAGATTTCTCCTCGCCGCTCCTCCTCCACCGACGTCAACGGAGAAGCCGAACAGACGGATGACGCAGAAGAAGGTTTGAGGTTTTAGCCTGAAGCGTTGCAGCGATTTAAAGTTTCAAAAGTGTTTTTTAGAGAAATGAAGTTTGTAAAGACTGAAAATGTTCTGTTCCCCCCAGTGAACGGAAACCGATCTGTTTCTTCCTCCATCATCAACGAGAAATACAAAGTAGGAAAAGTGATCGGAGACGGAAACTTCGCTGTGGTGAAGGAGTGTGTGGAGAGGTAACGGTCATCTYATCAGTGTGCATTAYCAATGCAATGCACACTATTGTGATTCGTTTCCCATCCAAGTCATCTCAACTTTGCCATGCTTCTCCTCCTTCATGCTTTGTCCTAGAGCTGCCATTGTAATTTATATCTGTAAAGCCCCTGTGCCAAATGATGGCTATGCCTTTTGGTGCCTGTAAAACTTATAGTTTATGAAATATTAATGTTTAATGAATTATAATGGGAGTCAATGGAGCCTTGTATTGGTCCAATACTGCCCCACGCTGTACTCAATTTGGTACTGCACCATAGTTTAATATTTCAACTCAGTAGTTCAGTGTTTACAGTACTAATATGATTGTGTTTTGATCTTTTACTATAATATTGTCTTAATACTGCTCTATTGTAATATTATGCAGTTTAGTGTCAATAATTGTATTGGCAATGTGGCTTCTTTCTGCACACATACAAACCAACCCCTGCCACCATCTTCTGCCACAGCTCCATTGGTCTAATGGTCTATGTCATGGACTTTAATGTGGGAGATCAGGCTTCAAAACCCAGCTAATGCAACTTTAACACAAAAACTCTTCAAATTTCATATTGTCACACAATTACCTTAATTACAAACACCTGCTGATGTGGCAGGCACAAGCTGGTATAGAAAACACATTTGAACTTGGTCAAAGTTCATTCTGCAAGTCCAATGCTGCAGGCAATGACATGCTACATGGCAATGCACACTTGTTTTTACATCGTAAAAACCCATGTCTGGTTAACATTTAATTTCACTTATTTATTTATTTAAAAGGACAGTACACATTTATTAATATTCTGTGAATATAAACGCACTGGAATTAGAACAGCTAAATTTCATCCCTTGTCCTGAGCAGATAAAATAACAGTTTATAAAACACAAAACAGACTAAATTTAACACCTATGACTACAAGGTACAGTTAAATTATTTTACAAATGACTGATTTTTTTTACGCCAAACATTAAGTTTCTTTTTAAAAAGGGAATAACGTCACAGTCTCTGATATTTTGTGGTAGAGTTCCTCTGATTGACGTCACCCATCTTGTGACATCACAGCCCCCTCTAGAATGAGATTTATTCATTCTGGATGTAGACTCGTGAATAAAATAGTTTAAAGGTGAAGGAGCATGTTTGTTTAAGACCCTAAAAACAAGACTTAAATCACTGAATCTTTGTACTTATTAACAATTTTACAGTAGAGAATAAAAGGTTGTCTGTCTAAAACTTTGTCTCTTTGGAGACAGACTTGATGAGTTTTAACACATTTGCTGTAAAATAATAAGAAATATGAGAACAAATCATTTCATGCATACAGATTTTAGCTGCCTGTGTGGTGAGAAAAGGTCTAATAGGAAGTTTTTTGCATTAGTAGTTTTCTTAATATGTTGCTAAAAAGTAAGATTTGTGTCCAACAGAACACCAAGGTACTTGAACAGATCCACCACATCAAACACTTAAGCCCCTTTTCCACTAGTGCCACTTAGTGTAGTGTCGGAACGGTCGGTGTAGGTACGGGTCGGACCGGTTGGTTTTCCACTCATGTTCCAGTCCGGTTCCAATGGGTGTGTTTTAGGCGGTTGGTGGAGGTGGTTTTTAGGTATTTTGAATAAAAATCAATGGGCAAAATGAGAGATGGAAACACATTTGATGAATAACTTTTGAAATTTTAAAAATTTGCAAAAATTTAGCCAATCAGTGACGAACAGTGTTCTGATGTCACATTTTGGTGTCAGCTGGGGCCGGTTGGAACCACAATGAAGTAGGTACTAAAAAAAGTGCCGGTTCCATGGATCTGGCTTGGAACCGTACCGAACCGTACCGACACTACACTAAGTGGCACTAGTGGAAAAGGGCCATTAGTTTTGGGTCATCTGCTTTCTGGTGTGAAAAAAAACCCACATTTTTTTTGTGTTAAGATGCAAGCATGAATCTTGAAGGCAGTTGTGTATCAGTACCATAAAACAGCAGCAGAWTACAACAGTATCATCTGCATACAGCTCAACTTTGACACTTGAACATACTTAATGTATGTAAGTCATTAACAGAAACTAAAAAGAATGGGTCCTAATATAGAGCCTTGTGGGACCCCAGCTATGCAGTTAAGATCTGTACAGCCTGAACTTCAGCTTCATCCAGCAGATGGCCTTGTTTGAAACATTAAAACCAGAGAGCTTTGCTAACAGAATGTAATGATTGTGTCAAAAGCTCCAACACAACATTGCCTGTCCAGTAAGTTTTTGATACTCGCAAAGAAAAAACAAGTGCCTTTTTCAGTTGAGTGATGTTTTCACAATTTATTAAAAAAATAATCTGAATAATCTGCGGCCGAAACATCTTTCCTGAATGATGTGTAGTTTTATGGAAACTGATCAAAAACGCTAAAAATGTAAAATGAACCTTTTTGTTGTCTGCTTATCTGGTTATAAACTAACCTCATCTACAGATTTTGTAATTTGTGTTCGTGTCTGCAGGTTGACAGGACAGGAGTACGCCCTGAAGATCATCGATAAAGCTCGCTGCTGCGGGAAGGTAACTATAAACCTGTATATTCTGAACACTTCACCTGTTCTGCTTGTTTTCTGCAGCGGCTCATCATCAAGTTTATCAAAAATAAAATATTTGGCATCAGTTAGTGTCAATGTTCACACAAAATACTAAGTCAAACAGAAGCCTAGGGAGTTATGAATGATGATAAAACATGAGAAATGATGGATTACGAGCACTTTAACAGATTACAAGTCAGTCTGGAGTATAAATATAAATAAATGGATCAATACGTTTGACAGTTCTGTTGTCGGGTGTGATCTGGACTCAGTTTGATCAAACAGCTACAAAAACCTGGTGGTTTCCATCATGAGGACATACAATGAGTTCTTTTTACACAAATTAAGAAAATCAGTGTTTAAAAGGTTAATTTATCCTCAGAAATGTTTAAACTTGAGAGTTTCTGTGTTTTGAAAGGAGCACCTGATAGAAAACGAGGTGGCGGTCCTGAGGAGGGTTCGCCATCCGAGCATCATCCAGCTGATCGAGGTGGACGAAACGCCCACGCAGCTCTTCCTGGTCATGGAGCTCGTTAAGGTTTCTCCTCTTCTTTACACCTGGAGACAAGAMAAACATCCTCAAATCACTCAAATCATTATCCAACATACTGAATATTTATATTAACCACAGCAGAGGTGGGGACTCAAGTCACATGACTTGGAATCAAGTCAGACTTGAGTCATTAATATTGACTTTAGCCTTGACTTAAAAAGATGTTCAGAGATAAGGGATTTGACTTGAATTTTTTACACCAATGACTTGAAACTTGACTTGAACTTTTACACCAATGACTTGGGACTTGACTTGGACTTTTAAACCATTGAGTTGACACTTGACTTGGACTTTTATTTCAGTGACTTGAGACTTGACTTGGACTTTTACACCAATGACTTGAGACTTGACTTTTATTTTATTTTATGACTTGGGACTTGACTTGGACTTTTATTACAATGACTTGAGACTTGACTTGGACTTTTACACCAAAGACTTGAGACTTGACTTGGACTTTTACACCAGTGTCTCGAGACTTGACTTGGACTTTTGTACCAGTGACTTGGGACTTGACTTGGACTTTTACACCAATGACTTGGGACTTGACTTGGACTTTTACACCAATGACTTGAGACTTGAATTGGACTTTTACACCAATGACTTGAGACTTGACTTGGACTTTTTCACCAATGACTTGAGACTTGACTTGGACTTTTTCACCAATGACTCGAGACTTGTAAAACAATGACTTGGTCCCCCCTCTGAATCACAGACAGTCCAACAACATCTAAAGTCTGTTTTCATGTCTTCCTGCAGGGCGGCGACCTGTTCGACGCCATCACTTCCTCCACCAAGTACAGCGAGCGCGACGCCAGCGCCATGGTGTTCAACCTGGCCGGAGCCATCAAGTACCTGCACCGCATGAACATCGTCCACAGAGACATCAAACCTGAGAACCTGCTGGTACGGACACAGACTTGATTTATTCTTTGCTCGGTTCCACCTGGGGTCTCGAGGTTTGGATCAGGAGTGAAAGAACCGGACCTGGAAACAAGCAGCTGAAATAATCTCTGTTAGGGCCTGGTTAGGCTGAGGAGACTAGTCGGATGTTCAGGTTTATTATCCCGGCCTGAACTCGTGGACGATGTGTTAAAACAGTGTTCCTGCTGTTCTTTAATCCCATGATGCTTTGTGGTTTCAGCAGCCAGCTTCACTCAGTTCTTTTAAAACGCTGTTTCAGCACATTTTACTGTGTGAACGCATTCTCATCTTTTAGATGTTTTTTTCTTCTGCAGTTTTTAAGCTATTTCAAGAATTTATATGTCAAAACCTTCGGCTCCTTCAGGTTATTTAGGCTGTGAAGTTTGGTATTTCAGCTATTTTTATTTTCTGAGATGTTTAACTTTTACAGCCAGTTTTTTCTGTAATGAGTGGCGCTGTCTTCAACACATTTAAAAACCTTCATAATGTTCGTAAATCTTTACTGAATGTTTCATTATTTGGTTCTGTTTTTTTTTTCTTTTTTTACTTTTTGTGCTAATTTTAGCTTCCATCTCCTTCTATTTAGCTGATTTTAGCTTTTTTTTTTTAGCTATTATTTTGACCTGTTATTCTTTTTTTAATTTCAACTTTTTGTGCTTCTATTGGC